CTAATCTCTCTCATAACTTTCATTCTCTCAAACTCAAAACACTTGAAAGATCTTTACACTAGCTTTTAGCGTAGTGCATCATCCAAGAGCAGTACATCTTACACGTCCCTCGAAAGCTACCCCACTAATGCTCCTGGACCAACAAACCGTGACATCTTCGAGAGATTGGAGGCTCAAGATGGAATCATCAACCACATTGATGGGAACATCGATCGCCTCCTGGATCTGGTTCGCAGTCTGGTAAAGAAGTGTCCCGACCATGCCCCAAAGAAGCCAACTGGGGACAGTCCACCGGGTTCTGTGGCCAGAAGCCATGGCTCTCAAGGATCGTCCGATGGAACGGGAACCTACACCAGAAACCAACGCAGGCACTCTACAGGAGGAGGTGGTGCCCCTCAGACTCGTGATGATAATGGCCATCCTCGCTACATCAGCATGACCGTCAACCAGTACTCAAAGACTGTACCTATCGCCGGCAACACCCCTGCCCTTGCCAATCCACTCACCGGTACCACCCCTGCTTCGGCACCTCCTAAGCCCCCTCCAAGGCCTCAGGTGCACTTTAAGAACGTTGTTGAAGCGGTTCCATTGCCCTTCTCCCAGGTTCAGGAAGCTCGAAGAAACACAGAGAAGAACGATTCCATTCCGCCACGGGGCCCCTTCCATGATCCATATGCAGGAACAGGCAACTATGCTGTTAAGCCTCGCACACCCAAGCCATACTACAATCCTTACCACAAGAGCGGCCAAGGTTCCGGCAAGAAACCTCAGTCGCAGCAACAGCAACAACCTCTAACTCAGCCCAAAAGTGGAGGCCGGCACACCAGTTATGATAGTGGCGATTGGCACACACAGAAAGAGAACAGTCCTCCCAATTACAGGGCTGACGTCTGAACAACAGAAAACAGTGCTTTCATCGATGATCCTCATTTTTTGGTTGTTCTGACTACTGTTGCTCCCATACAAGTCGGTCCCGCATTTGTCCAGTGTTTCTGGACTGTACAAGAAAACAAAGAATAAGACCAAGCTCGAACGTAAGAGCCAGTTGCAGAGATCGTAGTAATAACCTGTACTTAAGACACCGTTTTCGTCCTTAAATCCATAAAAATTTTGTGGCCTTTTGTTGGACGGGAACTTTGGGTAGTTCAGAAGTCCATATCTACGTTATTTACCCGGGACATCTCTCCTGATCAACTTTCCGAAACAGCAATTGACATGGTGGATTTAAGGAACGTACCCGCGTGACCTATGCGGTCATTTCATAGCTTCACTCCTCCGTTGAGCAGTTTTTGACGTTAACGGTCGATCTAATTACCATGTTTATATTATACCTATCCGTATATACGTATGTCCTGACGTCATCAGGGATTCAATGGTCCCAAAATGGTTTTCTCCGTGTGGGGAAGTGTTAGTGGACGAGATCCCAAAAAAAGGCACCTCTTTAGGCTCTTGTAGTCTATTCATTCTGTGCATTATTGCTACCACCAGGAAGACTCGACTCCTGGCGTGGCTCAGTAAGTTGGAAATTGGCTGTGAAAGGAGGGTGTGTGCGGGTCTCACAGACACGCCGATCGCCTCGCAAACGGCACCGGTACGGCAATGAGCACCTTTTGCCTCGGGAATACTACGATGTACTGGCTAGGGTGCAAGTTTGGCAGGCTAAGATGAACAATACAATAGGTGCTCTAAAATGTATGTAGCCAATGTAGCAACCGTTGCTTCAAGTCTACGGCACCAAGTATCCCGGAATGGCTGCGGCCCGAGTGTTACCATTCTCCATCACCTAAAAGTGCAGTGCATCCATTCGTCCAGGTTCCGTTTGAAACTCGGAAACACTCGCATTGTATGGGTCTGCCATGGAATAGGTGCTCACACTAAGGCCTGACCGCACACTTCCGCCCGAGCGAGTGTCAATCCAGTAGGTCTGCATCTCTCCCTTGCCTTTGGCGTGGATTTTTGTTTCCCGTTTATTGACCCAGTGAGACTTGCCCGCTTTGCGCAGCAGCTGGGCCGTTGCTTCGGACACATGGATCCGGTTGGGCGCTGAGTTTGATTCCATTCGAGCAGCTAAAACATTGGGGAGAGAGAAAAGCGGGCAAGTCAGCGAAAGTTGTAGCAGCAAAAGCGTCAAACACATTAATTTGGCATGCTGATGCAGAACATACCAGTATTCATAGTATCACCAAATAGCTTTATAGACGAGCAGAAAACACAAGGGCAAGGACCAAGTTAGAGCAATGCTGAAACACCCATCCAATCTGAGCTTCCCACCAAACTCACTTGAAAACGTGCTTTTTCTCCTCTATGATGCGATTGGAGATGGCACAAGACAAGTAAGTTAGATTGCTTCCAAAGACTCTTATCAAACCCTTGAGCTTTGTCCGTCTAGCTAGATTCAGTCATACGTACCGAAGAACTCCTGCAAGTGAAAACCAACAAAAATTACAAGAGTTCGTGTGAGGTTGGTTGGTTGACAAGGGAGGAAACAATCCAATATTCGTGTCCACGAATGAATGAACAAACGCAACCTACCTGCAGTGACAGGGCCGGAATGCAGCCCCGTTCGAAGGGCCAGATCCAGAGTTTTGGGGCCCAGTGTTTCTGCCAGGCTGTGCAGCTCCTGCCGCATTTTGAGCCTGCAATCATCTGCAAATTTCACCATGATCAAAGCATGTTGCTCTTGAGGTTTGGGTAGCCCTTGAGTGAAGGAGAAAGGAGATTGAAAGGGCATGTGAGATCAGAGAAGAGCTTTTGGCATTGCCATGTTCAGCCAGCTCTGGTGGGCAGACTTACCAGTGACAGCAACCTGAATGCAAATGAGAGGAGGAAGGAAGCAAGATGTGATGAGCGGATTGTTTCTCGTGATTTTCTCGTTATGCATTGCCCGTATACTATAGCAAGCTTACGTAGCAGTCACCAATCTAGTAGAACAGGGGCAAAAGAAATGGAAAAGGGCAAGCTGGCTGGTGAGCAATGAATGAATGAAGCTTGCATCCAACTCGAGGAGAAAGCAACCAACTGGCATGACAGTAGCGTACCGTTTCCACCTTGAAGACACCACGGCGTGCCGCTGCGGCATCAAACAATCCATACAAAGTCTCCAATAGCACAAATACCTCATTCGGTTGGCGATTGGCACTCCAGCTGGTAAATCCTGTTACACACATCATGGTAAGCACAGGAGTGATGAGAAATGTATCAAGTTGCGTCATCCATGATACGAACAGTATTCATTAGCAAGTAATACGTACCAACCAAATCGGCAAACATGATGGTTGTCTCGGGGTATAGCTCGGCAATGGGTGACACTTCCTGCTGTAAGGCCGAATCACTCTTGTTGTTGGGATTGGCCGTGCCCATGAACTCCTTTACAGTATTCTCATTATTGTTGTTTTTCAGTATGGCACCGCCTGACGAATAGCGTGTCGATTGTTGTTCTTGTTGTTGCTGCTGTTGTTTCAGGGCCATACTGGTGCGTTCGTTTTCGTAGAGTCGTTCCTTGACGGAACTGGGAAAGAGGGACGAAACGACGGCATCGGCTTCATTGGCGGACGAGAGGACCAAGCGTTGTCGCCGCTCCACAAGCCAATCATACGTCAAGAACACCAGGGATGTAAAGAGAAAGACCCCGCAGACAATGACGGCATACCACATGGGTTTGGTCGTGACATATTTGTCTTTGAGTTCTTGCGAGGGATAGATATGAAATGTGTAGGGACAAAAGTCGTCGTAGAGTGGTCGTCCGGTATATGTCAAGGACGCAATGGGTTCCATGAGTGGACTGCCAAAGACAAAACTGGTCTTCATGGCATCAAACTCGGGTGTGACTTCGTGTTGATCGCCGTCATCGACAAAGGTGGCAATGTTGCCGCGTATTTCAAACGTGAACGATTGATCACACGGAGGGGCATTTTCCATGACCACGTAAATGCCATCGGCGCCCGGCGGGAGGATGCGTTCGATAAAGGCTTGCCAGTAGAGATCAATGGCAGTAAATGCCACAACCTGAGGGGAAGTCGTGCCGTTGGTGCCGTAAAAAGAGTCAAAAATGGGATAGAGCATGGTACTGATATATCCCGGGACATTGCCATCGGACCATGCCATGCCATAGGCCGCGGTGGACGTCTCCATGACAATTTGAGTTTGATTGAAAAAGTCCTCAAAATTGCCATAGTTGGAGTTGACGGTGGTTTGATAATACCAGGAAGCCGCGGCAGTTTGCCATTGCGGAAAGAAGGGTCCCGGTGAGGGATCGATAATGGGATGTTTGTCGGCATTAAAGGTAGTGCCAAATATTTTGTTGGAAATGCCGGCGAAAAGTCCGGATTGGATTCGTTGTAGTATCCGTCTCCCCAGAGATGCTCAAACCAGTCAAAGTCTGCATCAGGCGTTTGTCCTGGTGCAAGGCGCGACTGATCTTCGCCGTAGACGTGTCGTTGCGCGGCGTAACTGTCATTGAGCCATCCCCGGTTTTCTACCGAGTATTCTTCCCATGCCGCTCGAGTCTCATTGGTCACGACGGGAAAGAGTTGTACGCCATAGGCATCCGTCAACGATTGCGTGGCCATGATGTGTTCTTCGAAAAAGGGAACTGTCACGTTGGGCCATGTCTTGCCCTCGGTAATGGCGTAGGCTTGAATCTGGAGGGCAATGGCGCCGACGGCTTCGAGTTTGGACTGGGCATTGCGATGGACCGTACTAATGATTTGTTCCGTGTATTCCTCAAATGTATCTTGAAATGCTTCTTCTTCGGTTCGGGAGGATTTCAAATACACTGATATGGTCACGGCAGAGGCGGCCGTCAACAAGACCACAAATACCAACAGTTTGGACCATTGCACCGCGCGAGTTTCCATTTCGGCCAAGGAGGGACGGGCCGTTCCTTCTTCGTCCACATGCTTGTCATCGGGTCGTCCTTCGCACTCGCTGTAAATAGAGAGACTCCTCTCGTCGTCATTGTCGCTGTTGTGGCTGGTCGACATTTTGTTTGCTTTGGTTTGCTTTGGTCTATCTATCTTTCTAGCTTGGCAAGAGCTTGTGTTCCGGTTTTGTGGCTTGCATGCAATTGTCGGAAGGTTTTTATGGCTGACAAAGCCTCGTAAAAACCGTTTGCAGATCAATCGGATGGTTGTCAATCGGTCGGTCACATGCACTGTCACAGGTCACTCATTATTTCCGATCTACGATGATGTTTAGATGTTTAGTACGGAATCTGTACAGAAGACTGACGGTCTCAGAAGGCTAAAAAGGTCTTTGCGATCATCGTTGATCTTCAAGATTCTTCAAAGTCATCGTTTTTAACAAGATTTAAGAACAGGCTATTAAGATTCGTTGCCTTGGTCATTTAGCCTTTACAGACGAATGCCGATTGTTAAGCAACTCACCAGTGGCAAAAGTAATTTAATTCTTGAGGACCCCTAGAGGGTTTTTTGGAGCCACTGAAACAATGGAACGACTTTTTGCAAGGCACTTGGATGTCGCCATGTCGCATGTCGCCATGATTGATGAAGCAGAACCACTAGTAGCTAGCCAGAAGCCAGAACATGCTGCGCTGCTGGTATGTGTGTAGGGGTTGTGCATGCGGACATGCGGACTGACAGGAAGATACGTGACTTGGTTGAACAAGTCACTCATGAGTTGCTTGCATGCGGGCGTGGAAGCTGCTAATAATAATAGCAAGTTGTTGCTTGCCCCGAACGACTAACTGGTACGATCGTTCAATGGCTGGTTGTAATGTTGCATGTATCCTGGTGGCACTCCAGATGACGAGCAGCTCTTTAGAACCGGCCTATCAGTTGGCCATTTGGGGCCGTATCGTGGCCAGTTTTTAAAAGTAGTACAGTAGGCAGAATTCAACCAAACAAGGTGGCCGCCTGTTTCCTCTTGAAGAATGCACACGAGCGAGCTATGTCCTTTTGATTTATCATGGGGTTCCTCCATCGTAGCAGGCTACTAGGCTGAGAATTGCAGGATCTCCCCGTCTACCTGTGTATGCTGGTCGCTCGGGTTTTGTGGCAACCCACCATAGCCCAGAGGATCTCAGGTTTGGTTCGGCAACTGTCTCTAGCAGCGACCTACAACGCGCATTCCTACATCTCCAGACCGCAACCAGTATCGGTATACCACTGGCGGAGTGACACCACTGAGGGCGTCCCTGGAACTCGTCGAGGAGGACAAGGCTGGCCGCGCGACTTGAGTTGCCATCTTCATACGAAGGCATTGAAGGCATAGATTGCTCGTCCAGTGGGCACGTCCAGCAATAGATCCTTTCATGAATCGCGGAGATGGATCTTTGGCTCGAGCAGGAGAGCCCATAGCTCCCAACAAAATTTAAGCGGCTACTGGTACCGGTACCGCAGCGGGGTCCACTTCCGGTTTGGTACCGGTCGCTGAAGATCTTTTTGACCAATGACCGGTGGAAGAACTGCACAAGAAGGAAACGAACGGAAACTTCATGCACAGGCTGTCATGCCAGTGCTCGTGATTTAGGAAGGCAGGAAGTGAAAGTGCTCAGGTTGAATCACAGTGTGTCGCTTTCCGACCAATTGAGCTCAAGCAACCTCCAATATTTATTTGACAAAGATACCTCCAGTCTCCGCGCAGCGGCTACTTGAGTTTTACATGACTTTGGTACCAGGATGCAAGCGTCTCTGCTTTTGGAACAGCTTGTGTCCTGTCTTCTGTCATGCTTTTTAAAGCCCCTTGCGGGATAAACGACTGCTGGATCTTGATGGAAGTGTCCATTCCACTCTGATCCTATTGCCACCGGTAGCAGTTCTGTCATGATGAATTCGATTAAAGCCCTGTGAGCCAAAGGCAAGACCTGACTGAAGATCTCGCATCGTCAGACACGTTTTTGTTGCTTGTTTGTCGCCGTTTCTTGGTCTGGGTCATCATCGCCATCCCTCTTTCCCTCACAAAAAAAGCAAAAGCAATACCAGCAACATTCCAACCCCACACTCCAATCAACTCCGGTATACCCGCAACAAACAATACAACAAACATGAACACCAACTTTGACAACGCCCGCTTCACCGTCACTTACTCCCGCAACTGCGATGGTGGAGTCCAAGAGATGGCCGCTGCCGCCAAGTGCATTCGCGATGTCTTCCCCAACAGCCAGATTGTCTCCGAACGTACCAACAGCTTCCCCATCAAGGTGATTATCTCCGTCCAAGACGAACGAGATGGCGACAAGAAGATTGTTTGGTCCGGCAAGCAACAGAATCTCTTTGAAAAGTACCAAAGCAAGCGCACCAAGTGCATGCAACGAATCAAGTCCAAGCTGGTCGATTTGCAAAAGCAGCAAGCAGACAGCACCACCACAAAGGATAATAATACTGCACAAGAACAAAGACAAACAATCCCCACCACACGACGAACCAGCCTTTCCTCTCCCACCATCACATCCGAGCGCCGTGCCAGCGTCGCCTCCCTTGTCGCTCTTCCCGTGCATGCATGAGGACCTCCTCCATTATTCTCGCGTATAGCGCAGCACTTTTAGTCTTTTGCGGGGATGTATAATTAAACCTTTTTACTTTCATCTGTCCGTCCTTTTCCTGTTATCCCCTTGTTTACTATTGCCTGTCCGTCCTTTTTCTGTTATCGCCTTGTACCTGTGCTCCGCCCGCCTTAGCTAGGGGTCTGGGGACTGTCCCACTGAGGAGCCACCGCGAGCTCCTGAACACGCCCATGGATACATACCGAAAACAAACCGAGACTGGCTAGCTAGCTAGAAGTCAGAACAAGCGTTGGGAGGAAGGGGCAGCCAGCGCTGGCTGCCCCTGATTGAGCCCGGTCCCTCCTCAACCCCCCCCCCCTCCTCCAGCAAGCAATGGACCAGCCGGCCAGGGGCCACCCCCATTGGATTCATTCTATGGGCTGGGGCCTCCGTCATTGGATTCTATGGGCCCGTAGCTCAAAGCACTGCCCTGGATTGCTGCTGCTGCAGTTGGCTTGAGCAACCTAACCCAAAACTCTTTACTACCTGAGCAAGTTCCACGAGCACGTTGTTTGCTGGTTTGGTGTACGATACGTGTATTAATAGGTCCGAGTACTCTGATTATTCTCTAATAAATACCTCGGCAGTTAAAAATTCAACCCCACAACAGCGTACTCACTAGTACGGTATGGGACGGTGTACCCTTGTAATTTAAAAAACATGAGGATGGTCAAATATCAATATAATGATTATACTCAACATGACCCTTCCTGCCCGAGTTGTAAATCCTTTTTTAGTCGCTTCAAACCAGAAAACAGCAGGAGCAGCCATCACAAGATACCGTACTGGATCTTTCAGCTTTGTATCTTTCATAGCTTCTTTCATACACTCTCAATTGTCGTCCTTTCAGTGTTCCTGATGCATCTTTGAAGAAAGGGAAGATACCAAAGATCGGTACCATCGTGCTTCTGCTTTTTTACAGATCTATTCTGAGTCCATCACCTTGGTCTCATTGTTTTAAAAAACATCAGAGTCCTATAGAGCACTCTGAGGAAAGGTATCTTGTTGGTTTTCACGACGTCCCCATCTCGTTGTTCTGCTTTCTACTTCAGCTACTTCAGTACTTCAGTATCATTGATTAGTACCATGCCCCGCCGTGCTTCTGTGGTGGCCCATCACCAGCATTCGCTGTCGTTGGCCCAAACCATTCGCAGTGCGATCCATGACGGTGCCAAACTGTTCAATGACGGAAAGAAGAAGGAATGCTATGAACTCTATTTGGCCACGGCCTATGGTGGCTTGTCCCAGCAGACAATGCACGCCATGCATGCCCATAATCGTGTGGAAGGAGCTGTGGAGACCATGGGACATCAACATGACAAGTACACTGATGCTCAATCGGAAAAGATTCGTGAATTGTTGACCAAGGCCACAGTGGATGCCAATGTCGTGGCCAGCAAGGAGGATTATGGAGAAGCCGCATGGGTGATCCGTCGTGCGTTTGACCTTATCTTGAAAATGACCAAGAGGGCCAGCAAAGCAAGTGAATTGAAACCCGCAAAGACAGGGGGTGAAACTCAAGATGATGTCTCGTTCATTACCATCAGTGATGGTGCTACGGAACGAGAACAGGCTGAAACCTTGTCGGGACTCTGCAACAAAATGGCCGACATTTTGGATATTGGTAATCACAAGTATCGTCTAACGACCTACCCGGATACCTTTGTGGGTAAGGAAGCTGTCACCAAGCTGGTCAAAACTAATTTGTGTACCTCTCGTGAAGACGCTGTTAAGAAATTGAACAAACTGATGAAGTATGGATTGATCTATCACGTCACGAAAGAGCACAAATTCAAGGATGAACCATTGTTTTACAAGTTGACCGCCTCGACCGATTTGCGTTTCGAGTTGGACAAGTTTGGAACCAAAACCAACACCCTGGAAGGCGAAGAATTAGTCCATTATGCGACACTCTTGGGACGTTTCAAATCCTTTCACAAGCACCCATCTCTTGGTGTTTTGAGGTTGGACTATGACTATCCTCCCGCCGCTGGAGACATTGATCATCCGGACTCCTACGATTATCCCGTCTACTACCGTGTCGTCCCCGGACTGACCTTTGAAATGTGTCAAAGTGGTGTGCTATCTGCCGAAGTGGGCGCGGCATTTGATGATGCCGTCTTGTGGTTGGCCATTCACAAGGATGTCAGCGTGATTAGTGGTGATTGTGGCTTCATGTTTTGGTTTGTGGAACGTTGCCGCAAGATTGCTTCCAAAAAGATCATTTCGTTGAGTCCCTTGATGCAGCTCCCCATCATGGTGGCAGCTTGTGCTCCCAAGGACAAGATTCTCGTTCTCACTGCGAATGGCAAGTCCTTGGATCCTATGCATGACTTGATCAAACGACAATGTGGCATCGATGGACAAAACACTCAGTTCATTATTGTGGGCTGTGAAAATGTCCCTCATTTTGGAGTTGAAGTCGCCAAGGGATTGCAAGTCGACGTCGACAAGGCATGTCCCGGTATCGTTGAATTGGCCAAGGAGATGGTCCGCGATCATCCCGACACCCGCATGATTTTGATGGAATGCACCGAATTGCCCCCTTATTCCGATGCTGTGCGAGAGGCAACCCGATTACCCGTGTGGGACGCGATCACCAACTGCAACTTTTTCATGCAGGGCTTTTTGGATAGCGTGAATTTCGGTTTGAATGGCTGGTATGAAGAATGGGATGGCATTCAGGAAGAGTATGTGTTGGGACAAAACCTAAACGACACCCAGCGTTTGCAGTGTGTTTGGTGCCGCAACAATGAGTTGAACTATGCTGGAAAATGAGTGAGTGGTTGCATTTGTGGGCGACCTATGGAGAGAAAGGAGGAGGCGGCTGGCTGAACTATATGACTGAATGTTTTGTGTGCTTGTTGGACTGGCTGAAGCCCATGATATGCCGGTAGATGATAGGATAATTCATGCACGTCTTTTTAAGTATGCACCTGTGTGCATTGCAACGTAGTCTGTAGGCTTTGCCCAATTTGCTTTGATACCCGTAGGACTGGTGTTAACAGTCTCCTGTGTGGTCGGTACCGTATAGTGATTTCTAGAGCTGTGTATAGTGATCTTGCTTCAGAGCGATTGATCGTGGACAATGATATTTCGGTTTTGGGGTGCTATCACAAACTGTGACTTTTTCATGCAGGGCTTTTGGATAGCGTGGATTTCGGTTTGAATGGCTGGTAGTATGGAGAATGGGATGGCATTCAGGAAGAGTATGTGCTGGGACAAAACCTAAACGACACCCAGGGTTTGCAGTGTGTTTGGTGCCGCAACAATGAGTTGAACTATGCTGGAAAATGAGTGAGTGGTTGCATTTGTGGGCAACCTATGGAGAGAAAGGAGGAGGCGGCTTGCTCAATTATGTGACTGAATGTTTTGTGTGCTTCATGGGAGGGTACTGGCACAGGTAGCGTGGGGTCTTAGCGTGGATTGCCTCAATTCGTCGTACATGTACAAGTAGTGCGTCGTGGAAACAGAAACTGGACCTGTCACTCTCTAACTTTTCTCGTCCAAATACTCGTCCTAAGCCTGAGCTACTCGTCCTAATAACTCTACCAGCATCGATAATAGGCACAGCACACACAGTCATTAGAAGTTATTAGACCAGTTGACACTCCAGCTTGATAGGTACTCAATAGTATGGACTTGGAAGCGTGGATGCTCGAGGTGGACGAAGAGTGGGACGAGCTCACCTTTGCGGCTCAAAGGCTTGCATCGGCTTCGGCTATCGCAGTGGTAACTCTGTTGGATAATGGCGATACCATTGCTTCGGTTATCCGCCCTAAAGATGAGGAGAATGGCCCTCCTCCTGCAAATAAGCCCAGAGGAAAGGACCCAGATGGCAACAGAATCGAATCGGCAAAGGTGGCTGCAATCAACCGGCTGGTTGCAGTCCAAGAAAATATCAACACCATTGCTGCCAAGAACGCCACCGTTAGTGCACCTTTGGGCTTTGCGAAATTGTTGAAGGATATGGGTAGAGATGCTGAGGCCCGCGTTGCTCTGGATATGGCCTTGAAGGCTCAGTCAAAACCCTTCTCTGCCTATGCAAAACTTTGCACTTTTGACCAGGAAGAATTCAAGGAAGACCATGACATTGTTGAACCCTGAGGAGATGGAGGTTAATCATAGTGCCAATGGTAGTGGACAAGTCAGTGGTTTGACTAGTCAGGAAGATTCCCCTACCAACCAGGATGCTGTAGTCTGAAGCTGGGAGAGAAATTGCCAGTTAGAGTTCACTGGTCTGGAATCGATTCGTTGTCATATCTAGCCAGTAATAATCAAAATCATAATAATAACTATAACTAGTTACCAAAAGATTCTTGGCTGAGACGCTGACATTCAGTAATCAAAGCGTCCTGTAGGCGCTCATTTTGCGTGGATCGTTGTCCTGTTTGAGTATTTGTCGGGGGGAATCATCTTTCGACGGGAACGTTGTACTTGCCATGTTTCTTCAACGCAAACCTATGGATTTCGAATGCAGTTATGCTGGAAGCTATGCTAGTAGGTCCAATGCACTAGTGCTCTGGGAATGCATGCCCGATACCGTACGTCGAATGGCAGTTTTGAAAATATTGTACTCCGGGCATTGCTTGTTTCCAGCACAACCAAAGCCCCCCTGCATTGCAATGACAGCTACGCGTCTTCGTCGCCGTTCTTACAGCTGAGAGGGCAGTTTGGTGAAGCATGCCCTACTTCAAACCATTCGTGCCGTCATCATCGTGGGCGGGTCGGTTCAACGGAGTAAAGTGAGTGTCCACCACTAGTCCCGGCGGTGACGCCAGCAAGTATCGTTCACAAATGGCATGTAGATTGTTTCGTAGAATGGGCTTGGTATGGAATTCGTCGGCTCCCAAACAAATGGTCTTGTCTTGCTCTTGTGACAAGACATTGGCACTCAATGCCACAATGGGTACGGTGATGTTAGCTTGTCGAATGGCGGAAATGGCTTCGTTGCCGTCCATGACGGGCATGGAAACATCCATGAGTACCAATGCATACCGCAAAAGAGACTTATTGGCAGGCAAGTAATTGCGACTGGCCAGGAGTGCATCAACGGCTTCTTGACCATTACAAGCCATGCGATGTTCAATGCCAAACGTGGTCAGCATTTTGCCCAGGATCTTTCGATTGACCGAGTTGTCGTCAACCACCAACACGACATGATTGTTGGGAGGTAGATTGAAGGATTTAGTGACGGTCCTGCTTCTTTCACAGGCCGTGCCGTTGCTGGTCGTCTTCGATTTTTCCGACAATGACATGGATTGCTTGTCCAGCATATTCTCCGTGGAAGGACTCGATGGTTGTGAAGGAGAGGGTATTGCTGTCGTTGTGGAGAAGAGTGGAGGAGGTTGTAGTAGCGTTGTTGTGCTTTCCTTCCCATTCGTGCTGTCCGTTTCGTGATGTGCAATGTTGTCTTTGTTTTGGTTGGAGTCGGCATCAGCCTGATGACTGATCATGGATGACAAATCTTGGGACGACGTATGTGTCCAATTGGGCATGCGCTGACATTTCAAAAAGTTGTTGGAAACTTGCTTCTGATCATTGGGCAAGAGCTCTCCGACATAGTTCATATTGTTGTTGGTGGTGGCTTTGTTGGAGGCGGTTGTAGTAAGAGGATTGGTATTACATGTGTGTTCCTCTAACAATTGCACGGGCAAATGGAGATGAAAGGTAGCTCCTTCCCCGGGTCGACTAGTGACATTGATAGTCCCTCCCATGGCTTTGGTCAAACTGGAAATGATGGAAAGTCCCAATCCAGTTCCCCCATGTTGTCGGAAATCGCTAAGTTTGGCCTGCGTGTAGGGTTCAAAGATGTCGTGCAATCGTTCGTGTGGAATGCCAATCCCCGTGTCGGCCACCACAATGCTCAATACGACCTTCTTGTTGTCATTGTCGTCATTGGTCGTGTGATGATGATGATGATGATTGTGACTCAACAAGGCCATGGAAAAGACTTGTGCTTCTTCATCGTCGTCCTCAGTTGTCTTATTGGCAAACATTGCGACGGGTCGATGATGGCTCATGGTGACAGTGTCGTTTGCTTCGTCCGCATCATCTCTTTGCTGCCGCCGCCATGCGGTGTATGATTCCAATGCGGCCACTTCCACCGATATCCTCCCCCGCGATGTAAACTTCAAGCTGTTACTGAGCAGATTGTAAATGATTTGCACCATGCGGACACTATCCCCCAAGACGAATTGTGGGACACTGACGTCTACAGTACACTCAAAGTCCACGGCTCCCTGATGTTTGCGTCGGACTTGCCGTCCCATATTGTCGCCCAATCGTTTGAGGAGGGCGTGCAAATCGAATTGCCGACATTCCAATTGGAGTTTGCCACTGTCCAGTTTGCTCAGATCCAACACATCATTGACGAGTCGCAACATGAGGAGACTGGAATCCAAAATGCTTTGGACTTCTTCGCTCGCACATTGGTCCGCCATGGTCGTAATACTATCTTGCAAACACTCGGCACTGCTGGTAATGGCAAAGAGTGGATTGCGAATTTCGTGACAGAGAAATGCCATGAATGTGAACAGTTTGGATTTGGAGTCTTTGGTTTCATTTTGAAGATTGGCCACGGCCGTGTCCAAGAGTGTAAACATGTCGGGAATGAGCGGAATCAAGTACACGGCAGTGGTGGTGGAGACGAGGGCATTGCCGCATTGGATCCACGTGAACCAACGGGAATCGCCCTGTCGGAACGCCAATAGGAGATGGGCCGTGCCGCAGAGAAAGAAAAAGAGCGCCACGAGGATGAGGCAGAAAATGAGGCGCGGGGGAATGTCGTGGCGAAGGGGGGAGTGAGAGAGACACCGGCAGAACTGGAGTGGGATA